TTGCAGCTGAAAGGGCATCCGTTGCATAAAACATATGCTGGAATAGCAGGCGGGATTAATCCAAAGGAAAATGAATGAATGAATTACACAACAAAAGGCGGTTCATTCCGCTGTGGCGACCCATGATCAATTCATTGTTATTTCTATAGTGCTTTTACAATGTAGATTGCGTCAAAGCAGCTTCACATAGAAGATTAATAAAGGGAGTAAGCCGAAGGAAAATGAATGAATGATTTAGATTTAATCTACAACTGATAAATTCAGAATAACGTTTATGAAAATTGATTAAATTTGAGACTGCATGTTCAATTGCAGATTGTAATATTATATATTACTATTACACATATATTTATATTGTCAAATCTGAAATAAAATAAATATAAAATAGAATATTAAACAAAAACAAATACTAACTACATAAAACAATTTTTATGGCAAATTACAGTAAAATAAAAGACAAAAACAATTATCTTTTAAAAATCATAGATAGCATCAACTTAAGTGCATCCAATGCAATAAATAAATAAAAAAAAAACTAAACATACAGTACCAACAGATGAAAAGGTAAATAATAATGTGGCTTAACAAAAACTACAATTGTACAATCTGTATCACACAATACACTAAGGAAAGAAAAAGAATCTGGAACAAGGACTTGGTCTATATTTGACTACATGTTCTTGGATATAGTCAGAATTATGAGCCCTCTTCAAATTTTTTTCTTCCTTTAAAAATATTTTCTAAATGATGTTTAACAGAGCAAGGAAATTTGGACAGTATGTCTGATAATATTTATTCTTCTGGAGAAAGTCTTATTTGTTTTTTTCCGGCTAGAATAAAATCAGTTTTAATTTTTTTATGAACCATTTTAAGTTCAATATTATTAGCCCCTTTAAGCTATTTTTTATTCGATAGTCTACAGAACAAACCATTGGTATATAATAACTTGTCTAATTACCTAATCTGCCTAGTTACCCTAATTAACCTAGTTAAGCCTTTAAATGCCACTTTAAGCTGTATAGAAGTGTCTTGAAGAATATCTAGTCAAATATTATTTACTGTCATCATGACAAAGATAAAATAAATCAGTGATTAGAGATGAGTTATTAAAACTATTATGATTAGAAATGTGTTGAAAAAATCTGCTCTATGTTAAACAGAAATCGGGGAAAATAAACAAGCGGTCTAAAAATTCAGGAGATGCTAGTAATTCTGACTTCAGCTGAACCAAATTTTCTTCACCTGGTTTAGAAAGTCACATTTTTTCCAGCTTTAGGAAGAAGAGGATCCACTGTGTTGGGGTTGGAGGTTTCTGATCCTTCCACCTGAGCAGTATTAGTTGTTTGGCCAGGAGCACAATAAAAGCCATGCAATCAGATTGTATCTTTCTAAGATTATATGATATGGGAAAAATCCCCAAGAGGGCAATCAGTGGGCAAGGAAAGACAGATACACCCCAAAAAAACAGTGTCGCAAAAGCAGTTTATACAAGACCAAAACATATGTGTGTGAATGGCTGCGGTGGAATTGCAGCGAGTACAAGCAGGATGTACAGTTGAAGTCAGAATTATTAGCCCCCGTCAAATTTCTTTCTTCTTTTTTAAATATTTTCCAAATGATGTTTAACAGAGCACAGAAATTTTCACAGTATGTCTGATAATATTTTTTCTTCTGGAGAAAGTCTTATTTGTTTTATTTCGGCTAGAATAAAAGCAGTTTTTAATTTTTTAAACACCATTTTAGGGACAAAATTAATAGCCCCTTTTAAGCTTTATTTTTTCTCGATAATCTACAGAACAAACCACTGTTATACAATAACTTGCCTAATTCCCCTAACCTGCCTAGTTAACCTAATTAACCTAGTTAAGCCTTTAAATGTCACTTTAAGCTGTATAGAAGTGTCTTGAAGAATATCTAGTCAAATATTATTTACAGTCATCATGGCAAAGATAAAATAAATCAGTTTTTAGAGATGACTTATTAAAATTATTATGTTTAGAAATGTGTTGAAACAAGCTGCTCTCCGTCAAACAGAAATTGGGGAAAAAATAAACAAGCGGTCTAATAATTTAGGGGGGCTAATAATTCTGACTTCAACTGTATATGCTGAAAGTGCTTTGAGAGCTAACTTTTTCATTCATTCATTTTCTTTTCGGCTTAGTCCTTTTATTAATCCGGGGTTGCCACAGTGGAATGAACCGCCGAGCTAACTTTTACTTTTAACAAAACTAAAGGTCATGTTTCTCTGCTTATAATCCTCAAAGGCATCATGAGCACCAGAAAGCAGATGTTTGATGAGCAGAGCAGCAGCATGTCATGGCTTTTTTTTCATCTGTTGTGTGTCTGACGCCTGGTGTTTGACCTATAAACTCATTTACCATCATTTGCCGTGATTTAAACTTCTCACACACACAGGTATGCCATGAATGCTGCGCTCTGATTGGCTGAGAGCATCAGGGATAATTAGTAGTGTCACTAAAGGAAACTGTATTACAGAGCAGGTAACATTAACCCTTTAGTCATCAGGGATTGCATTAGCTTACAACAGCCAACACATTTATTATATTAACCATTCATCTGTCATTAGTTTAGCCACCATAAATTATTTTTTAGCTCATGCTCTATTGAAAAATATTATTAATAAACAGATTTAATGATGAATTGGTTAATTAATATTAAATAATTAAATGTTAATTAATTTCAATCATAATATGAATGTTATATATTTAACGAAATTACTAACATTAAAATCAAAAAGAAGATATCTCAGATCATATATAATATCACTAAATATTAAATATGTATTTTGTATTGCATCTACTTTTATTATTATTATATTACATAATTAAACCTATATCTTTTTTAGTTACATAAAAATAGCAATAACTGAGATTCAGTGATACCTATTTTGTAATGATTTTACATATAAACGACATACAAAACGGTGGAAAATATTATATATAATATACAATTATATAATGTCTTTTTTTATTGTAATTTTATACATTAAATTAAGTTTTATTTAAAAAAACTACTATTAAAATTGACATTTTTAACTTTTGAAAACATACAAATGTGAGTGTTTTTTACAAGATTATGTATAATTATTATGCAAAATGTATCATTATTTTAATTAATTATATAATGATGTAATTATATATTATATAAATGAATTATAATTATAACCAAAATATCTTTTTAGTTGTAAAATGACATAATACTATTTATTATTTAACCTTTTACGTATTTCCAATGTATTTTAATATATTAATTAAAATAATACGTTTTTATATTTTTATTTTTAATGATTATTATTTATTATTGTGGAACTGCTACCATATGTGAGCTTTTCTCCATTAAATCAATTTAAATAACCATTTATTGTAGTATTTTAACATTTATTATTATTAATAAACATTAAATTAAATTAAATTATAATTTAGATTTGAAAGAAATATTAAGCATTTGTTTCACTAATTCAATATTATTTATAAATATTAAATCAATTAATTACAACAGAAACTTAAAAGTTTATTGTTTTTATTGTATGTAAATGAAAAAAAAAACGTTAACATTATGTACTATATGATATTGTATTTTAAAACAAATATTCCTTATTACACTTATTATAAAGAAATACTTATTATATTTCACATGTCACCATTAATTACATTTTAAGTCAGCTATTGTAGTATTTTAACATTTATTATCACATGATTGCTATTAAAATTTAGATCTGAAAGACATCTTGAGCGTTTATTTCACTAATTCAATATTATTTATAACTATTAAATCAATTAATTACAACAGAAAGAAGGACATTTTAATGTTTATTGTATGTAAATGTTCTCTTCCTTCAATAAAAATATTAATAAATCAATTGATAACAGAAATACTATAAAATTATGTAATATTATGCATTATATGACAATGCATTTTAAATTTACTTTACTTTATTACACTTATTATAAAGAAATAACTATTATATTTGACATTTTCACCATTAATCACATTACTTTTTGTAGTATTTTAACATTTATTATTATACAATTGCTATTATAATTTACATTAAAAGGCATCTTGAGATTCTATTTCACTAGTTATATATTATTTATAATTATTAAATCAATTAATAACAATAGAAAGGTGGAATCTTCACTGTTTTATTGCTTTATTGTTTGTAAATATTATTTACTTTCAATAAAAAATGATAATAAATCAATTAATTACACAGAAAACCTTAAGATTGTGTATTCTTATGTCTTATTTGATATTGAATTTTAAATCTACTATACTTTATTACACTTTTAAAATAAAATCTATAATATTTGACATTTTCAACATTCATTATAGTCATTCATTCATTTCCCTTCGGCTTACACCCTTTATTCATCAGGAGTCACCATAGTGAAAGGAACCACCAACTATTCCAGTATACGTTATTTTCATGCGGATGTCCTTCTAGATGTGGGGGAAACCGGAGCACCTGGAGGAAACCCACGCCAACACGGGAAGAGCAGGCAAACTCCACACAGAAATGCCAACTGGCCTAGCAGGGACTTGAACCAACAACCTTCTTGCTGTGAGCCCATTATTATACTAAATGAGCATTTTTGTGTGTTTTAACGAAGTGTTTTGACTAATATTTACACCTGAAACATGTATATTGAAACATGTCATCATTATTTCAACTTAATTAATGAAATAAGCTTATCTCAAATCTACATTTTCAGCTCTATTCCTGTCCTCTGTCATTTATCAGCATTATTGCGCAGACATTGATCTCTCCGTCACGCATTATTCAGAGATAATGTCAGATTATCCCTCATAAAACATCCAGCTTACTCAATCTCTGGAGATACGGCCCTGCCCAGCCATAAAGATAAATCACTTCACACACACACATTTAACACACAAACACACTCAAAAATCATTTCACTGAGAGTGTTTTTTTTTTTTTTTTTACTATAGTAAAGCAGTAAAGGATTGTGTGTACTCACTGTCCGGCTTTAGCAGGGCTGTATTCCTTCTTCTTGAACATGCTGGAGTGTGTGTGTGTCGTCTGTGAGCGACTCGCTGTCGTCTGTCCTCTGTTTTGATGGGCAGGTGTTCAGGCTCCGCCCACTCAAACAGGTGTGGCTCATGGAGGCACTCCGACTGGACGTACCTGTTCCTGCACTCTCAACTCTTCCTCACACATAATCAAACCTCAAACACGCACACATGTAGACAGACAGTTTGAGTGTGTGTGTGTGTGTGTGTGTGTGTATACAGCATATATGCTTGTTTGTGTGTATATATGTGAACGTGGTTGTATGTGTGTGTGTTACTATGTATATATTTGTCAGTGCAAATTTGTGAATTTATATGTGTGTGTGTGTGTGTGTGTGTGTGTGTGTGTGTGTGTGTGTGTGTGTTCAACATCGTCGGCTCCGTGTGTCTCAATCTCGTCCGCTTTTTAATGCAAAGCCTTGACATTGTCTCTGCGGTTGTGCGGAAGACCATCATTGGAACTCCTCATGAGGAGGAAAAGTCTTGAAAGGTGACTGCAAAAGAAACTGCATGCGCTCAGAGTGCAATATCCAAGTATATTAATAGAGTGTTAAGAGGAAGGGGAAAATGTGCATATAAAAGGTGCACAGGTATGACCGCAGCCTTGAGAGGATTGTCGAGCAAAGTTGACTGGGGCTGGCGTCAGAGCATGAAGAACCACCGCAGACATCTGCATAACATGTGGAGTTCCATGTGTCAAGCCTCTCCTGAACCAAAAACAACATTGGATGCGTCTGTGCTGGGTGTTGTTGGCTAGTGGTCCCGAGTAGTCTTTTCAGATGAAGGCAAATTTGGTCTTTTGTTTGGATTTCAAGATCCTAGAGTCTGGAGAAGGAGCAGAGAGACACAAAAGTCAAGCCGCTTAATGTCTAGTGTGCAGATTCCACTGTCAGTGCTGGTTTGGAGAGCCATGTCTAGGGCCAGACGGAATCTGCCGACGCTTTTTTGCTATTTCTGCTGAGAATTTTGGTAAAGATCTGTGGATTTCTGGGGAATTATTTTGGGAGTATCATAACTAAAACCTTAATATGTGAAATAAAAAACATTTGAACTTTTATTTAATGTTTAAAATGCAAATCCACTTAGATTCACTTTATTTGGTAAACGTAGCAAATCTCTCATATAATATCTCCACTAAAAGACAGAAAATATTACTGTACACACTGCACTTTACATAAATCAGATGAACATTTTCACATTAGTCAATAATATTACTGAAATTAATTTAAAAACTGAGTAAAATAGATTTACACACATTTACTCAAGTAAATAAACAGAATTAACGATGGGATAAAAATCTGCTGAATTCTGCTGAAAATTTGCTGAATTCTGATGATAATCGCCGGAATTCTGAGGAAAATCTGCATATTCTGTGCGAAACATGCGGAATTCTGAGGAAAATCTGTGGAATTCTGTGCAAAATCTGTGCAAAATCTGCTGAATTCTGAGGAAAATCTGTGGAATTCTGTAGACAATCTGCGGAATTCTGAGGAAAATCTGTGGAATTCTGTGGAAAATCTGCGGAATTCTGTGCAAAATCTGCTGAATTCTGAGGAAAATCTGTGGAATTCTGCAGAAAATCTGCGTATTCTGTGCGATATCTGCGGAATTCTGAGGAAAATCTGTGGAATTCTGCAGAAAATATGTGTATTTTGTGCAAAATCTGCTGAATTCTGAGGAAAATCTGTGGAAATCTGTGGAAAATCTGCAGAATTCTGTGCGAAATCTGCATATTCTGTGCGAAATCTGCGGAATTATGAGGAAAATCTGCGGAATTCTGTGCAAAATCTGCTGAATTCTGAGGAAAATCTGTGGAATACTGCAGAAAATCTGCGTATTCTGTGGAAAATCTGTGGAATTCTGCAGAAAATCTGCGTATTCTGTGCAAAATCTGCAGAATTCTGAGGAAAATCTGTGGAATTCTGTGGAAAATCTGCGGAATTCTGTGCAAAATCTGCTGAATTCTGAGGAAAATCTGTGGAATTCTGCAGAAAATCTGCGTATTCTGTGCGATATCTGCGGAACTCTGAGGAAAGTCTGTGGAATTCTGCAGAAAATATGTGTATTTTGTGCAAAATCTGCTGAATTCTGAGGAAAATCTGTGGAAATCTGTGGAAAATCTGCAGAATTCTGTGCGAAATCTGCATATTCTGTGCGAAATCTGCGGAATTATGAGGAAAATCTGCGGAATTCTGTGCAAAATCTGCTGAATTCTGAGGAAAATCTGTGGAATACTGCAGAAAATCTGCGTATTCTGTGGAAAATCTGTGGAATTCTGCAGAAAATCTGCGTATTCTGTGCAAAATCTGCAGAATTCTGAGGAAAATCTGTGGAATTCTGTGGACAGTCTGCGGAATTCTGAGGAAAATCTGCGGAATTCTGAGGAAAATCTGTGGAATTCTGCAGAAAATCTGCATATTCTGTGCGAAATCTGCGGAATTCTGAGGAAAATCTGCGGGATTCTGTGTGGGCCTAGCCATGTCATACGCTGGCGTGAGTCCATTGTCTTTTATCAAGTCCACAGTCAGTGGAAAATTTGAGCAAAATCTGCAGAATTCTGAGGAAAATCTGTGGAATTCTGCGGAAAATCTGCGGAATTCTGTGCAAAATCTGCAGAATTCTGAGGAAAATCTGTGGAATTCTGCGGAAAATCTGCATAATTCTGCGCAAACAGATTCCGTGTGGGGCTAGCCATGTCATACGCTGGAGTGAGTCCATTGTCTTTTATCAAGTCCACAGTCAAAACAGCTCTATACCAGCACGCTTTAAAGCACTTCATGCCTCCTGCTGCCAAAAAGCTTTTTGGAGATGATGATTTTATTTTTCAGCAAGACTTGGGACCTGCACACAGTGTCAAAGCTACCAATGCCTGGTTTAAGGACAATGTTATCCCTGTTTTGAATTGGCCAGGAAACTCACCTGACCCCATTGATAATCTATAGGCTATTGTCAAGAGGAAGAGGAGGGAACAGAGACCCTGAAATGCAGACGAGCTGAAGGCCGATATCAAGGCTGCCATTACACCTCAACATGTGTCAAAGGCTAATCGCCTCCATCCCATGCCGCCTTGATGCTGTGATTAGTGCTAAAGGAGGCCCAAGAAAGTACTGAGGACATAATACAGTACATTAACACACTTTCCAGAAGGCCAATAATAACCTTTTTATGAAATTATATAATTTAGTGAAATTCTGGATTTGAGTTTTTGTCATCTTTAATCCATAATCAATTAAACTGAAATAAATGAAAGCTTGAAATATTTCACTGTGTGTGTAGTGAACTAATATAACACACGTTTAACTTTTTTAAACAAATTACTGAAATAAATGGACTTTCCCCTCAATATTCTAATTTATTGGTTCATACCTGTACACACACACACACAAATATATACATATTATGCTGTGTATGCTATAATATATGCAGTCTCTTTTATTAGCATAGGACGCTAGTCTTGTTTTTGAATCTGCCACTATGCACTATGAATCTGACACACGGGCATTTGTAGCTCCGCTCTCATTTGCATTTAAAGGGCCGTGAAACCCATGTTTCAGCAGGGTGTTTTTACACCTCTACTTTGGAAAAAGTCAGGAAAGTGGGCGTGTCCTGCTCTGTTTAGCGGGGAGTGTCGGAGGAGGGAAAAAGGCATGGTCTGTAAAAATTTGCATAAAAATGGGAGTGTCTGTTTGGGCATGCGCTGATTTTCACACAGGCAAAACAAACACAGACGCAGAGGAGAAAGACAGTGACTGTGTTTACATGGACAACAGAAATCGAATTATTTGCCAAATTATTAAATGGTGGACTTTAACTGCAGTTTGGCTCTTTCATTCAGGAAATTTCATTCAAGCCCCTTGTGACAAACGAGATATTTGATTAGAGGAATTGCTGGAAGCGTGTATTTTTCATGAAATGTTTGATACCAAACGACAAAAGAGAGAAAAAAACATAGGTAACGCATTTCTCTGTAACTTAGATGCACTCAGTAGGCAGCGTCAGAAAGCTGTGTGTTACTCCTGTCACAAAATGCGGCGAAAATCCTCCACTACGGTAAGTTTGATTATGGTGTTTACATGTTTACGCTCATGAGAGCGGCATTTACAGACGATTTTTCAGTCCATAATATTGTAGTGATATTAACGTACTGTAAACTTTATTAACTTAGAAATCATGACTAAGTGCTGTCTTTAAACACTGAAAGAGTACTGCTGACGATACCAACTAACTTTGCCTCTGAATAAATAAACAAAGACCACTGATTGCTCACTTACCAAATCTGTAGAGACAGGACAATCAACACCAACTGGAGCTGTGTCTTTATTAAAAGGAGACAAGCAGCAAATCCGTATTTCACCATTTCCAGATGAGAAAAACTCTCGGGTACACATTGTTCCTTAGACATGTATTTCTGTCGCGTGTTGCCTGCACTGTAATCCACACATGAATCCAGCTGCGCTCTCATAGCGGGAAAATGAAAACAAAACCTTCACTGCAGCACATTATAAAAGAAACACTGACGACCCGTGTCTCCAAACATCTCTTGTTCTCCCACTTGGCAACACAACGCGGCGTCTCTCTGCCTTCTGAACACTGTAACTGCAGCATGGATATTAATGAAGTTGCATCGCATACATAATAGAGCGCGCTGATTGGTTTGAACAAAGCCTTTCTCATGCATTAATGAAGCACACTCAGGGACGTAATACGGTCTCCCAGGCACAGACGTCCAGTCTACACGCTGGAATACACGCTAAGATCTCATGGCCGTGACGCAGCTTCAAAAATTCGTTTCAAACGGGAAGTACGAATTTGCTCGAAATAACACAATTACAACCAATTTACACTTTTTAGTGAGATATAGGTGTCCTAATAGTGTTTTTAGCAGTGTGGGACACATATACGACTGTCAACAGCTCAAACACATGTGTTTAGGTGTTTCGTGGCCCTTTAAAGTGACAGTTACCAAAACGGCACAATTAGAATCAAAGCCCAAAAGGGTCAGTTTTAGAGAGTTAGAAAAACAATTTTTTTTAATTATTTTTTTTATTTGCTTGTTTATTTTACAGGGACAATACACTTG